GCTGGTGATGTTCTGAAGATTGCCCAAACCGAGTGTCTTTTTGGGGGGGAACAAGAGGCCCCCGAGTGGAATGGAGGGTTATCTGAGCGTCTCGCCTTCAAGAGAAAAGGAGGTTTTTGGCTGGCGGGATCTGAGGCCAGGGATGGGTTGACTTTGGGGATGCGCTTTGGTTCCCTTCCCTTCAGGTGAGGAGAGCGTAGTGGGCTCGGCAGCGACAGAGGATCAGGAGACAGCCTGTGTGATAATCGATGATCCGCGTGCCCTTGAAAGCCGGGAGTCGGTGCTGCTGGAGCGTCGTGTTTTCTGCAAACAGACTGAAGTGATCGTGGCTCAGTGTCCAAGCTAAGGTAGGTAGGTACCCTAGATTGTGCTGTCGCCCTTCTGAAGATGCTTCGCCCTGGCGGTTGCTCTTTTGTGTTGTGTGCAGAACAGAAGGATCAGATCAGATGAAACTGCTCAGGTGTTGGGCGTAATTTTTTTTTTCTTTCGTCCTTTGCCCAGTGCACCTGCTCCAGCGGTTCAGGCTCTGGTCCGTCTTTGGCAGCAACTCCCCAGTAATCAGTAGCTCCCCCATTTTTTCCTTCTCTCTTTCTTTCTTCCTGCTGCGCTTTCGGGCTGCTGGGCCTGACTGGACGCGTCTGGGTGCTAAGCCCACACCTGCGACAGGCGTATCCCAGGGAGACGATGGCCCAATCAAGACAGCTCGCGTCTCTGGTTGGTCTGTCGCGTCAACAGCCCCCATCATCACATCGAATCAGCGCAGATGCTCTGTCGCGCAATCATGCACGGAAGGGGTGATCCTACGTACTGCTGTCGCTCGCCTCACTTCTCAGTCCAGTCGCCTTTGCTTTTTCCTGGTTCTCCTCTGGCTCATTCGACCTCTGGGGGACTTTGGGGACCTCCCATGCTCTTCTGAAGCCATGTCTTGCTGCATAGGTGCAATTCATGTGTCCATCACCATCTGCCGCCCTGACCATCTTGACCTGATGCTTTTTGCCCCGCCATTAGGCGATCTAAACGGCAAAATGCGGCATCTCACCATCCTGGAATCCGGAAGCTCGACATTGGTGGTAGGTTTACATGATTGACAGCTCGCTACCGCCGTGCTGTTTGGGGTCGCCAACATGGCCCGGTCATGGAACCAAGGCAAGGTACGATCGGGCCATCGCGGTCGGTCAGTGAGCCAACCCTCTTGGTGGGGGCCATCTGGATGGATGTGAACAAGGGGGTCCCGCTGCTTTTACGCATCATCGAAAACGAGTGATGGCTGTGTTTGCACAACACAGCCACATGTGCACAAAACGTTGACATGTAGAGCCGCCGCCCCCTGTTCAGCAACAGCCAACATGAACGACATGTGAGACTACAGGCCATTGCTAACAAGAAAAAGAAAGTATGAAACTTTATTGGAGATATTGATTATGAACGGCATGTCCTAACATTCCATAGTGGTCTAACTCAGAGCATCGGCAATTCTGCATTTCACGGATACTCTTACACAACTCTCAGCGCTCAAACTACTGAACCGCCTGCGCCTTGAACTCGTAGACCAGGCACCCAATCTGGATGTTCCCGCTCACACCGCCATTGTTGCACTTCCTGTAATTGTCCCGCATAGTGTCATAGCAAAGCTTGTAGTCCGGCTTCCCGCTGTTGAGGGGGTCCGTAGAATACGCCTCATCCGGCCCTTCCGACACACAGCCGTGCTTCCAGTAAATGTTGAATTGATAGGGCACATTATTCGTCATGGTCGCCCACCGTCGGAACGTGGACTTGTCGCCTTGCTTGATGGGCCACGCAGACGACCTGTAACAGGGATACGAGCTGTAATCGCGCACCATGCTGGGTTGGATGTCGCCGTGGTCGCCGAACGCTTCGGCGGCGAAGCAGAACCGAGGGAACACCTTCAAGGGCGTCTTGGCGGGGGTGATGGGATCAGGCACGGGGGGGGTCCTTTGGCGAGTAGACGACCTTCTCTTCAATCGCATAGTCGAAAGTTCCATAGACCACGTCCACCTTGCCGCTCTTGGCCATGAGAACGCCCGCGGCTGATAGAACATCCTTCGGTTAGAATTGCAAGGTATGGAGCTTCACAAATATGCATCAAAACTCACCTCCATTGTTCTGGCAAGCTGTTGCCAGCGTCAAGTACGCCGTGTTGCAGTCCATCGCACATTTCTTCTTCTCTTTGGCCGGCGCGAAGCGCAGCCTGAAGTCGTACTTGGAGTAGTTGCTAGGATCCGGAGGAGGAGTCCGCCGCTGGAGGGAGCGCGACTCCTCGAACTGGGGCTTCCTGTCCTCGCCTGAAGCACCAACGATCATCTCAAGTTTGGTGCTCTCATCCCACTGCTCGCAGAAGCGGCCAGAGACCTTATTCTCCGACGAATAGAAAACGTTGGACGGTATATCGCTCAGCTTATCGTGTTCGCATTTCGGGGAGTTTGGCGGGCCGATAGACTCAAACAGGTCTGCGATGATAATCATCGACTTTTGCTCCTCATCAGAAGCATTATTCTCAATGCTCTCCGAAGGCGCATTGCACTCGCAGCCTTGGTGTTCGCTCTGTTCCCATTACTCGTCAGTCGAATGCCTTTCCCGAAATGTTCGGCGAGGCCATCAGGTATGTGACTCGACTTACATCTTTACATGTCGGTTTATCATCTAATGTTTTTGGGAGCTTGGCGTTGCAATCATCTGCTTCCTTGCTAAACCCACACAGAAGCTGGCCATGATAGTAGAATCAGTAGGCGCAGGCATGTAAAGAGTCCAACATGCGAAAGTCACTGGGGTTGATTTTGGGTCCGGGCAGCTCGTCGGCAAAGCCGTTGGTGCCTCTGTCCTAATGAGGGATGCCTCAATCCTATTATTCTGGTTGACCGGTCTGTTCTCGATCAATGTGTTGACTGCCAACGCAAACAGCAGGTTCCCTAGTTGCTCGGCGAGAGCTGGACTAATGTCCAGCATCGGCGTACATGCCCGGACAAAGTCTGACGCAACGTTTGCCGCCCGAGCAACGGCGCCAGCCGTCTCGGCAAAATCGAAGGACAGATGAGCTGGATTGATCAGCAGAAGGTCGTTGAACGGGCCTCCCCTTTGACTCATGACTGCTGCTGCCTCCGCCGCGCAGATGGCTTTGCCAAAACCGCCATTTGCGCGTTTTCTTCTCGTCTGGTCTCCGCGGACAAAGGCATGGCCATCATCGCAGTCTTGAGATCTGTGCATGACCTCGTCAATACGTGATGCGAGGTCCTCATCCAGAAAGGCGATAAGATCACCGCTCGAGCTGTCTCCCTCTGGCTCCGTTACGGGGGTGACGGACGGAGTCTGTGACCTAGCAGGAGAATCAAGAGTCAGTTTACCGAAACAGAGCTGTTCTTTGCTTCACATACCCCTGAAGTACTGTTGGATCTGGCGTCGACGTGATAGTCGCCACGGCCGTGCCGTCAGCAGAGACGACTGGAGTAGTCGTCTCCAATTTAGAGGCCTGGCTTGCGATCTCATGGGGCACGAACATGCCTGTGGGCTGTTCTTGCTTCATGGCCCAGTTGGATATAAGGACCCCGGCGATGAACGAGAAGACAGAGCCAACTTTCTTGAACGTCTTGGACAGGAACTGCACAAAGCCGCGACGCTCAAGCTCTCCGTCGATCTGCAGGTCGGCATTGCGAAGCAGTTGACGGACCTCCTGGTAGCACTTGTCGTCAACCTCGCCACAAGCTTCCAAGATGCCGTGGATCTTGGACTTGGTATCGGCTGAGAAAGACACATCGTAACCGTTGCCTTCCCTTCCAGGGAGCCAGACTGTGGTTCCACTGAGTGAAGGCGCTTTGACATCCTGAGTTTCTCAGTCAGTATTGGCCAACCAAGTGTGAGGACACGGGGTGAAGAACTCACCGTTCTAGGAGAGAATTGTTTCAAATCCCCGAGATCGAGAACCTCTCCCGATAGAACTCCCGCAAAGACAGTAAAGAGTAGATCAAACAACAGATTCTTAGTGGCTTGCGATATTTTCACAAGTGCTTCTTCTTTTCCAAAATAAGGCTTAGATAGTCTGGGCAATCATGGACTGGCCCTCCAAGTAAGTCGCGGACAGCAGATATGGACAGTGCCTTGTTTTATCATGGCAGAGCCTGGGACTTGGTAAATCTCGCTCCCATGCCAGACACGGTGAAGGCCCCATGCAATAAAAGTGATAATTCAAGAATGGTATCTCCGGGTATCAGTTCGTGATCTACGCGCCCCAGGTCGGCATTTGGGCAGTGGCTTCAATGTCCAACGCGGCAAGTTTATCGAGGTTGCCCCCCGCAAGGTGAGGCACAGCACCAACTAGCATGGCCTGATAGAGGTTGGTCTAAGAAGGTTGCATGATGGCGGTTGGCCTCTAATGCGCCACATTGCATGGTCGGGGGGCTCTTCTTTGAGAATTGGATTTTTGGGGCGGAGCGGTGGCCTGGATGTTGGCTTGTTGGCGCTCATGAAACAGGGGCTATGCAGGAACAACCTGGGGGCGGTTGTTCGACCTAATAACTATATGCGCAAACTTTGTAGTTTTCATACTCATGACGTGCGCACGGTGACTCGGAGCTGACTATGGCCATGATTCTCTCATGAGGCGTACTCGAATAATGTGACAAGGCAGAGATGTACTGTGTTGGCCCCTTCAAAGAACCCCCTGTCAGAGCACGCTAGTAACCCCCTCATAATGAAACCCCCAATTGGACATACTTGTTCACGACACTTGGATTTTGAGCATATCAGTGATGAGACATCAGTATGAAAGCCCATAGCTCATGATTTAGTCTGTGTTTGGCCTTATAGGTTATTCTTGGATCGCTGTCTTGTACCGAGATTGCATGGCCAGTGTATATATTGAGCGTCGGCCTCACCTCTGGGCTTTGTCCATGTTCGATGGCTCCAAGCTCTTCTCATGATCACAAAATTGTCAGCATCAATACTCGACATTGTCTCATTTTCGCAACGCCCCAATAAGCTGCCACAATGAAGCTTGCTTTCGTCCATCTGCTAGTCAACCTGACTCTCTGTCTGGCTGTGCCAGAATTCTCCCTTGCGCCATCTTGTGGTAGTATTTCATTCGACTTTAATACGGAACCTATTTCTGTTGCAAGCGCAATCTAATGCTCATCAGCTAATGACGGTGATTTTCGTCGTCGAGATGGTATCATTGGCCAGATAATAGATGCCATTGGACTTGCAAGCAATGCACACAAAATCCTCACTGACCATATTGATGACAAATATGTACTGGACATGACCCAGACAATGCTGGGCAACTCGGATTTCCAGGCCAAACTTGACAAAGTCAAAGGTGAGTACGAATGATGAAGCAAGACAACACTGCAAACTGACGTGCATCTGTTCCCTCAGAAAGCTTTAGAGGGATTTCGGAAATTTCCGACACGCCATCGCAATTCATGCCACTCGATGAGGGGTGGGCAGCCAGAAGAAGCAACCTAGATGTCGTCAGTACTTCACAAAGCCCTTTCATGCCTTACAAACTTATCCTGCATCTCTGCCACATGTCCAAGTATGCTAGATGCTCAACATGATGGTGTGGATCTTCATTGCTTCTCACATGATCCGAGCATTCTAGAGAGAAATGAGAAACCTTACACAAAATTCCCTCAAAAATTGTAGCTGACCATTTCGACAGGCTTTTTGGTGTGATGGTTCGCGATTTCCTCAAGCAAAGACGTCAACTGCGTATCATAAAGGATGGGGTCGGTGGATTGCGATGAATGTTCAAGGTCGACTGGCACAATGCTATGCGACGGATTACCAACTCGGATCAGGAGTCAGCAGTGTCAAAGCCATGACGACCCCCTCCCATGTTGTCGATTGGACGAGTTTTGTAAGTGATCGTGAAAACGGAGCAAAGGTAAAGAAAACAGATCCACAATATAGGATGATGAGACGGGACTCGAATGATGTCGACCTTTACAAGTGGTTCGTCGAGACCGCGGACCAGCAAGGATGGCCGAAGATTGATAAGGCTCGCGTCGACAAGGCCAGCACTACCGAGTTCCGCGAGGGTCTCACCCATCCCACTGTTCCAATCGACGGTGAAGACTCTGGGAAGTACCGTACTGCACGAGGTCAGAAACTCCCATGAATACTTGGTCCAGATGAATAAACTGTCACAGTTTACACATACCAATCAAGGCGGCTTGCTACTTGATACTAATGTCAAGGACATCAAGGGTGTAAGTAGCTGTTATGGTTGGCTATGTGCTGCCATTTTGGAGGACGCGAATAATTCAGGTATGGTGGTTTCAAGCCACATCTCGTCAGGGCGATGTTGACCCAGTCTTTAGATTCAATCGCATTGTTGGGCATAGCTCTGAAGATCTGGACCTTTGGCTACTACGTTGATCGGGCAGGCAACATACTCCCACGACCCTAGAATTAGAAACTGAACAGATTAGAATATTCAAATTTTTTCTGTTTGAAGGTGTCGGTACAAGAATTCTTCACCGTGACTGACTCGGCCTCTCCCATACGTCGTCAAGATTCAGCACTGTAAAGCCCGTGCTACACGAAACGTGAATCCAAGATCCAGGGTAACAACGTATGGGAACAATAGGTGGTTTGATGAGGATACGTGCCCATTGACCTCGAATCAGTTGTCGGAGCGTGGTTTGGGGCAGAGTAAAGAGATCTTCCGCCCGTGGGCCGCAGGAGGTAGATCGTAGGTCTGAGGGGTAATACATCTGAATTCTGGCCCTCCGCAGTCCTCATATACATGTTCTCATAGTCCTTCGCCCATAATCAGCCCTGTTCCGTGGCTCCGCAGGGGCCACCTGGCGTCAGTACTCAGCCGTAACATATTGGTGGCGAATCCAACACTTCTGCTATGTAGTCATGATAGTCTATGCCGTTCCTCCACCCTTGCCGTTCTTTCTTGACCATCTCTCGATACTGTTCTGGAGACGGTTGGGAGACTGGATGTGGCCCAACCTTCAACAACTCGAGCTCCACAGGAGCCCAAAGTAGGAAGGTATCATATGTTGATCGTACTATGCTCCAGCGACCGCCGGGGCTCTGCCGGCAATGATACTTTTGGCGTACTCGGCGGGTTATCGGAAAAGATGATTCAAGGCTGTCATGGGTGAAATGACGGTCTATATCTTCATAGAACGGACGAAGATTGGGAAGAACAACATTGAGTACGAGACCGGGCACAAGAGCCTTGAGTGTGCCGAGCGAAGACAGAACCGCACGCTCGTTGATGACGGACCAGGAACACCAGTTGGTGTGGTCTAGTTCAACTCGGATCTTTTGGAGGCCTTTTAGCGCAGCGACGGCCGGCCACGCTTGCGTCCATTGAAGAGCCATTTCTTGCACTTTCTTTGAATCTGATCGCAGTCCATCAACCGCCTCAAATATTTCGAAAGGGAGTCTCAAGGTGACGTGAAGCACTTGCATTCCGTGGCCGATGAGCTCAGTGAAGTAGTCTTGGAAGTACCTTCTGCGGTATGCTGGGTCTTGCAAAGGGCGTCGAGGGTATTCAAGTCGGTGACGTGAAAGACGAGGCAGTGAACCATGTACTCGATGGCTTCACTGTACCTGTGTGACATGCGGTCAGGGTTGTTGGTACGAGTACGGTTGCTTAGCTGCTCACATGTGCTTGCAGACCAGGAGAAGCTTCCTCACTCCAAGATCGCCATTTGAAGGAGCTGCCTCACACCTCCAATGAGGACCCCAAGTTGACCGTAGGCGCTTCCCCATGATGATATCTGCGTCTCTGTCACCCTTTGAACAGGTCATACCATCGTACCAAGCATCACCCCATTGCCTTTCGTTCATCATTGAGTTGCGCGGTGTGGCTTCCACTCCAGGGTATCGCTCGGCTCCATCATCATCGCAGGAGGGGTTGGGTGTCAAGCAGTCAGAAAGCACGACGTGCTGTCCACGACGGGAAAGATGCAGAGGCGGGGTGTCGAGGTAGTCAAAGATGTCCCACCAGAGCTCGACTGGAAGGCGAAACATCGCACGCTGTGATTCAGAGCCCGCCATCTGGGTCGTTTGTGCCGATTTCGTTTGGTGACGAGCAAAAGTTGGGAGAGGGATTTCGGGTTTAGAGGGCAATCGAGAATGAAGAGGGCTTGGAGCAAAGCATGGGCGATGCTGGCGAGTGCATCAATACTGGCATGATGAGTTGGGGGCCAACGGCGAGTCGGCCGACATCGAAACAGCCAACCGTCAGTGAAACGGCCAACAGCACGACAGCCAACATCCATGCCGGCATGTTCTGAAAGTAATGCTTGAATCCTATGCCCATCACCGCCTAGCATCTCACCATGTTGCTAGTTTGGACCAAGTACTTTGATGGGTTTCTTGATATACTCGTAAAGGCTTCTCTTTATATCTTTTTAACTCGGTTCGTCCATAACTGACCTTGAACACTGGTGGCCAACAATGAGGGACGAAGCAACATGTGCTTGTGCATAGCGTGCATGTGCATAAATGCATCCCGAAGGGGGCGTGGCTGTGCGCGACCAGCCAGGGCGAGGAAATCTTAGAGCGGCGAGAACGCTACCTCCATTAGCTCAGCGCCATGGGCTGTTGGTCCCCAAAGCCGAAAACCTGCAGGTGCTGTTGGTTCCTGCTGAGCCCCTGAAACGCGCGCGTTACACTTGAGCCCACTGTAAAAAGTGCCCTGATCTTCGTTTGACCCCCTGTGGCCATCCTGCTGTTGGCCCTGAACCTCTTTCACTAAGCCCCAGTCCCGGGCTCTAGGGCACCCAATGAGGCAAGTGAAGGCCCCCAACGATCCAACGACCCCAAGATGATGTCGGTACAGGCCGCCCATTGGGCCAGTGTCAAGCATCCTTCATTCCATCTTCCCGTTTCCCGCGCGCTTGGCCGCCATCGGGTAGACCGTCTTGACCGTCCCTGCGCCATCCTTTCTGGGGCTGGAAATGGACCATGGATCCTTCTGCCCCTGAAATAGACTTGACATGTGTGGCGGTTGACGCTGAGCCACAGCTGTGAATGCATCACCCAACCCTCGCCCGACAAACAGGACAACCCCCTCCACGACAGCATGACAGTCTCAAGGGGAGTCCGAGAGGATCGCCGGCTGTTTCTGAGCTCACAGTGTGGTGCGGAAACACAATGGCCCAAAATGCCCGACCCGATTCCAAGTTCTCCAAGCTAGGTACCTAGACACACTGACGGCCCACCAGCAAATCGGGTCACCTGCCATCACGATACCCTCCCTCCCCACGCCACGTGATTCAGGGTGCAGACTTGGTTGCGACACTACCTAACCATACAGCTCAACATGACAAGTTTGGCGTCTGCATCTAGTACTAGAACTAATCCTATCAGCGCCGGGTTCTGTCGTGCACTTTATCGTGCTCATACGTCCTTGCCGCTCACCACCGCCTGAACGCCGCCGCGACCTCGGCGGCCAGGCCCTGCTCCCCCCTCGTCTGCAGCAGCCATTTCCCCTCCTCTTGCCTCGCCTTCGCAATCGCCCTCTTCGTGCCCCCGCGCGTGGCCGATCGAATACTCTTGGCAATGCCGGCGCTCGGGTACGCAAACAGCCCAAACATGCCGGCGCCGCTCTTGGTCGTCAGTCCCACGATGCCCTTGCCCACGCCCTTGACGGCACCCAGGGCACCCTCGTCTCTCGCGCCCTTGTACGGCTGCACGACGAGGTCGCTGAGCCCGTCCGCGAAGCCCCACGCAAACGTCTTGCCCGCGACCGCCGCCCCGGAGACGAAGCCCGTGACCTGGCCGTTGTCGCGCGGCCTGTCGCCGTAGTGGCCCGGCACGGCCCTCAGTCCCTCCGTCAGGGCGAGCGGGATGTCGACCACCATGCCCTTCAGCGCCGTGGGCGCGATGCCGCCGATGCTCTTCGCCGAGGCGCCGACCATCTTGCCCGCGAGGGAGGGGGACTTTGCCGCCGACGCGCCGCCGCGGTCCGTTGCTGCCGACTTGACGCTGGCCGTGTCGCTTGCGGCGGCTGCGAGTCTCCTGCGCTCCTGTTCCTTGCGGTGCTGGTGCGCCTTGTATTCGTCCACGGGCTTGGTGACCATGCCCGTGATGGACCCGGTCATGTCGACGGCGGTGCCCATGACGGCCGAGGCGCCGCCGCTGATTGGATCCCATCTTGTCACGTCGAGGTGCAGGGTGTTGGACTCGTATCTGCGGGCCCCCGTGTCAGTTTCGGTGCAAACAAAGCCGGCGAGACAGACGTACGGTTTGAGATGCTTGACGTTGATCGAAGAGTCGGAGAGCATCATTTCCGCCGCCAACTTGGAAAGCTTCAGAGGTCGCTTGGTCTTCGTGTACGACCAGACGGCTGGCTCGGTCGGTATTAGGTCGCATCGGATCTTTTCGAGGGGTAGCTGCTGGTGGAACGACCGAGCAGCCGCTTGCACGCCAACTTCTGCTTGCATTTGCGTGGCGATAGAGGCCGCGGCAGCCGCTGCTTCGTTCGAGAGACAGAACCGGATTGCTTCTGCGAGATTCCTGGCCGTCAAGGACTTGTGGTGGATGGGCAGCGGGCCTGCGCCTGCTTTCGCAACCATCTGCCCCCAGAACGGTTGGCTATGGGGCGGCCACAGTGTTAGCTGGGAAGCTTGAATGCCGTCGAACAATGTTTGAAGCAAGGGCAAACTCACTCTCCAAAGAAAGGCACAATAGTAGTGGGCTTGCCATTCTTCAATCCGCAGGCTGTGGTGCCGGCACCACCATGGTGGACCACAGCAGCTACGTGCTGAAAGAGCCACTCATGCGGACAGTCTCCTATCCAGTATATGTTCTCGTTTTCGGAGCCTGCCAGATCAGCCCATCCCTTGGAGATGATAGCACGAGCGCCTGTCGATTCGACAGCCTCTAAGATTATTCTTGTAACCTTGTCGGGGTCATCAAGGACAATGCTGCCGAATCCAATGTACACCGGTGGTGGGCCAGCATGGAGGAAGCGCGCAAGGTCATCCGGTGGTGTATAGGCAGGTGCGTCTCGGAAAAAGAATCCGCATACATCTACCAGTCCCGTCAGCTTTCCACCCAACAAGTGCTAGAATCCGCGAAGGGTGGCTGTACCAATGTGGGAAGGCCAGTCGACTGGCTTTGGTACGAGGGCGGGTGACCAGCAGTATGTGTAGGGGATTTTGAGGCGTTCAGTCAGTAGAGGACCGTCGAACATGGCGACCTCTTCCAGGTCTATGCTTTTCCGCCACTTGTTGATGACGTCCCCGAGGCTATTGAATGGTCAGCGCCGCCCCATGAGAGGAAGGACAAGATGGAAAAAAGAACCGACTGTGAAGGGAAGAAGCTCACCCTTGCCAGGTCATCCACTCGACCACAGAATAGGAAACGTAGTTGGCGACGCCGGGTTTGACGTCCACGTTCTTCAGATTGACCAGCGGATGGGGAAAGGCCGTGGTACTGCTCCAAGGCATGGTGAACATGATGTGCACCGGGATCCCGAGGGCCTGCGCGCAGTGCACATGCGCAAAGCTAGGCGGGTTGGCAATGATGGCATCGGCGACAAACGGGTCGCCCGTCAACCGGTCAGGTTTGATGCAGGACTCCCAAGACTTTCCCAGCATCTCCTCCACCATGTATCGCTTTTTCTGGATCTCCCCTGCGGCGAGGCTCTCCATACTCGGGAGGAGACCGGGGTTTTTGACCATGTAGGCCATGAGCTCGGCAGGGTCACCACCGATGGGGTAAAACTCGATGCCAGCTTTCCGCACAAAGTCCTCAAAGACGTCGTGGGTCGCGAGGCGCACGCGGTGGCCGTAGCGCTGCAGTTCCGTGCCCAAGGCGACGAAAGGCTGCACGTCACCGCGGCTGCCGACTACGTGGATAACGATGTTGAGCTTGGTCGCCCAGGCTGAGGAGGACTGCAAGTTGGTCTTTTCATTCGGCACATTAACGCTTTCTCGCCGTTCTTTCTCTCCTCTGTTGATTGTCTTTTCAGAAAGAACCGAGAGACTATGCACCCATTTCGAGTTGAAGTCGATCTCGACACGGGCATCGCCTGCTCATAATCAGTCAACGCATCGACAGACAATTTGATGGGGTATACCGTACTTCCAACATTGCCTTGGGAAGCAGCCGGGAAGCGGTTCTCTTGCGAGTTCAGATGTGGTGTACGGTGTTCATGATCGGCAGGTAGCCCATCCGCACTGGCAGTTGCTGGGTAGTTGATGGAGTAGTGATAGTCCTGGTGTGTTGCGTAAGGAGGGGCACTGTCGCTGTGAGTGAACGGAGAAGAAGGTTGATCGTGACGAGCATATTCATTGGGCGACAGCGCCTCATCGTCCCAGGTATTGTGAACATTGTGGTGGCGTCTCTCCGCACTCTGGTCCTTCTCGTTGCCCATAGGTGCGGTCTCTTGGTCTTGTCGATGTCTCTTGGATGGTACTGGTGTGGGCACTCGTCTGCCGCTTGTCTCAGAAGAGTCGACTTGAGGATCGGAGTTTTTATGTGTCGAGCAAAAACTGAACAAGGTTGACAGGGCAAGCCGCCTTGGGCTTGAGGATGAGAAGGAAAGGCATGATTGTCATGGCCTCGGATGTCGCCGAAGCCTCTGCAACCTGAAGCGGTCAAGCTTGGTGAAACTGCCGAGTCATCTCCATTCAGTCACTGCTCGCGACGCGTTCAAGTGCGCCAGGGCTGAAAGCCTACCTACCGTACCTACCTACCTAGGTAAGGTAGGTAGGTACCTAGGTATGGAGATGGGGTGGACAAGTTGGCAAGTGGACGGGTGGGTGGATGTTTCCATGTGGTGGTGAGACCCTCGACGACGGCCCCGCACTGGTGCTTCGCCTCGCCGATCACCTTTCGCCTTTCGCCTTTGGCCAGCCGTCCCGCTTCGTACTTCGTACAAGGCTCGTATTTCGTTTATTCCCCTGACTCGCCATTGAATGTTCGTTCTTCGTTCTTCGTTCTTCGTTCTTCGTTCCTCGTTCTTCGTTCTTCAAGCTTCGTTCCTCCTTCACACGGATAACCATCCGCAGCAAAGGCACCTCACAACCGTGGAACCTACCAGGTACCTTACACTGTCAGAGACACAGTAGCCGGCAACCCCTATTACCACCATGACTAGAGCTCATGAGCATTGCCCGCGTTGACTCCGCATGGCCAAGCTCTAGAAATCCTTTTGGGACTCTCGAGCATGAACAAACCTCCCAGTGCTGTCAGGACGCGAAGGCCGCAGACTCCGCTTTGCGGGTGCCGTCCTGTTTAAGATCGTTGACCTGGCTGCCTGACTATCCGTCACGGCTCTCTCGCAATGGCTCGTCGTACTCATCAGATACCCGAAACCCTTCTCCAAGAGGTCCGAAACCGAGGCCATGTCCGAAGCCATCGAGTCCTGCAGCTCTGATGCTGGCTCCTGCCTGGCTTCACCCAGCTCACAGCCATACGCACCTCCCGTCAGCCAGAAGTCCAAAGCCCCGAAGCCTGCCCCACGTCGCCGTGAGAAGCATACCAAATCAAGGAGTGGCTGCAAGACTTGCAAGAAGCGCAAGGTCAAAGTAGGTGCCTTCTTGCGCGACATGGACAGCTCCATACCATAGCGAAGCTCACCAAATCGCAGTGTGACGAGTCTAGGCCCGTGTGTACGCGCTGCGAGCGCATGGGGGTCTCATGCTTGTATCTCCCCGAGATAGGACGCACTCGGCGTCAGCATGGCCAGCCTGGCCAGCATACACAGACGCCTGCGGCCATACTCTACTCGCAGCCCGACAACAGCCTACATCTCGACATGCCGTCTCTTGAGCTCTTGTGCTCATATACAGAGTACACGAGCTCAACCCTGCCATCAGCATCGATGCTTCGGGGATTCTGGAAGACAACGGTACCGCGGCTCGCCTTGAAGCATGACTACCTCATGCACGCCCTGTTTGCCCTCGCCGCGCTTCACAAGGCTCAGTTCCGATTCGAGGAAAGGGAACACTACATGTCTATAGCGATGCGACATCATCACCACGCGTCCAAATCAGCCAGGATACTTCTCGATAATATCACGCCCGAGAACGGCAACGCCTTGTTTCTGTTCTCCATCTTCACCTGCATCGTTGGTATGTGCCAAGTCCCAGCCCGCACTGCACCCAGCCGTGTCTTAGATGATGAAACCCTTACATTTGGCAGTGCTGAATCTACCCGAGCCGCCGTCAGAAGCCGACTCGTCAGAGAACCCATGTTTCTTCCGCCAGTGGTACTGGACAATGCACGGAATCCGCTCCATCACAGACTTCTTGGGCTCCGCCATTCAGCGAGGCTACCTCGCGCCCCTGACGACGTATTTTGGGGCCCGCTGGTCCCTGCAAGATTCTGGTCTTCTCCTCGCCACAACGCTGCCCACCGTGTCCATCGTTGACATGCTAGACGAGCTTCAACAACGTCTTTACGACACCGTCCTAGACCCTGAAGAACTGGGCTCCTACACTTCATTCCTCGACCGCCTTCGAGAGGCTGCTGGGACCATGTCGTCGTGGCAGGAGTTTGACGTTTTTGTGTGGCTGTTTCGGTCTCTTGACGAGTTCGCGCTGCTGCTGCAACTGCCGACGCAAGAGACAATGGTTCTGTGGGCACATGTAGCCGTTGTTGTCAAGGCCTTTGAGGGGCAGTGGTGGCTGAAGGGTTGGGCGGATAACATCATGTCTCTAGTCTATCAGCGGCTAGACTGGGAGCACACAACATGGGTGTACAGGGCCGCGGTAGAGATGAACTGGATCATGCCTGAAGAGGAAGTCATTGATCCGCAGCTTTTGTAACAACACAAGCGATCGGTGAAACGCACTGCCGGTCCCAAACTTGTAGAGTAGAAAATTTGGGACCATGTACTACAATAGACAGGAGCGTGCCCTTCCATCCCTTTCGTGCCCAAATTTGGCCTCATACTTCGTATGATCGATAGCCAAGTGGCAGGAAACATGTGTCGCTAATTGATGTAAAGGGCATAGGTAACGCACACGCATCTAGATGTACAGTTCACTATGTTTCACAGATGTACCCGCCCTTAATCATGTACTGACCTAGTACCTGCTTACGCGTAGATCAAAGCTCTTTAGGTAGGCGGTGATCATTTGATGTATTGAGGCCGAATTTGGGCACGAAAGGGATGGTCATGGTCCCAGTCAAAGCCTCATGGAGCTCTAGCCCTCGTGAACGCTCTTGAGAGCTGCCTCATTCCCGCCAACCTTCTTTGCGTCCCGCTCTGGCACGCTATCGAGGGGGCGATCCAGCCCGAGGCGGTGCGCCGTGCTATATGACACAATTCCGTTCTGTCCCTCTGCCTCGGTGACGAGCTCCTTGCGGCGCGTGTCCACAAGAAGCCGAATGAGGTCCGGTCGCATATAGTGCCCGGCAAAGTCGGCAAGCACTTTCGTCAGGTGCGTCTCGTTGAGGTCAATGTCCACAAACAGCAGCCCGTCAAAGTCCTTCTCCGGCTTGACCACCAGGCTGCCATCGGGCCTGTAGATGCGCGCGTGCCCGTTGTACACCGAAGGGTCCGTCTCGGGCTCGACGCCCTCGGGCGTGTTCACCCTCAGGCCCTCGACCGACAGCCGCTGAAAGGGCGCGAGCACCCACGCGCCCGTCTCCATGGCGTACGCCGGCGTGACGAGGTCCGACGCCGGGTCCGCGTAGTTGGTCGCCGGGTCGGGCGCGACCCGCCTCTCCTTGCCCGGGTAGACGGGCCACGCGGCGACGTGGACCTGCTCGCCCATGCTGACGTTGAGGGCCTTGAGGAACGGGTTCATGTTCTCCCAGCAGTTGAGCTGGCCGACGCGGCCAATCTCCGTCTCGACGACCGACGCGAACGTGTCGCCGGCGCCGTCGCCGTACACGAGCTTCTCCACGTGCGTCGGCTTGATCTTGCGCCGGTGGTTCGCAATGGCGCCCGTCGGCGTGATGAGCACCTGCGCCAGGTACAGCGTCGCGTGGTCGAGCTCGGAGAAGCCCATGGAGACGAAGACCTGGTTGGCGCGCGCGGCGCGGCGGATGCGGCGCATCTCCTCCGAGTCGACGCGGAGCGAGTTCTCGCGGTACCTCTTGAGCATGGGCAGGCTCTGGAGGTAGGTCACCTTCCACATCCAATAGGGGTAGCCGGGGATCCCTGCAGCGTGTCAGAAATGCACTCATATACCTGCGAGTGTGTGCGAAGTTGGGCACTGACAGACTTCGGGGAAGGCGACGAGCTTGCAGCCTGCCTGGCCGGCCTCGTTGATGAAGTTGATCGTCTTCTGCACGCCAGCCTCGAGGTCGAACCACTACCGAGTGTCAGCAAAGCTACTTTTTCTACCTTCGTTGGTGATGTTCCCTTACCCGGGGCTCGGAGGTGACCTCGTTGGACTATTAGCCAGGTTTCTCAAGTGTCAACAAGGAATGCTTCTTACAGCGGCAGCCTTGTATTTAGTGATAGGCATCGTTGCAATGGTGCTTTTCATATAGTGGATAAGATGTTCAAGAAGAGGTTGGCGATCAAGGTTCAGGTTTGCTGATGGTTAGATGACAGAACTCAAGAACCCCCTTTGAGCCTTTATACTTGAGCTCTTGCAATGACCGAGCTTTTCGATCAGTACTCACACGTCTGACCTTTTGCACTAGAGCCATCGAGCACCGACCAAGAACAAGTATCAAAGCCCGATCCAAGACGCAATCTGCAGTGTCACCCAGACCTCAGATACGCATGGCAAGAGTTGCAAGAGAGGCCAGTATCGGCCGACAACCTCCACATGCTATGCAGACGTCTGCACTCGGCCCGACGCCGATACCAACGGCAATTTGGGGAGCAGCCACAGACGGGTATCTTTGTAACCCTCGGGCCATGTCCTTACTGTAAACACATGGCCACACCCGCACGTCAGACTCGTCCCATGCGGAGGTGTCTCGGCATCAGCACCACTTCTGCAGTGCCAGTCTAGTAAGCATAGTAAGTGGTACATTCGTCGACATGTCATCTGCGTGGGGCCGGTAGGGTCTCATCCGTGCCGCCTGATCGAACAATATCTACCCGTACGGGGCGATCCGAAAGTTCAAACCCCGGACGGGACGACCCCGGGCCTTCGTCCGGGCTTGTTGTTCAAAGCCCGATGCACACCTTTGCCTGGCGACGGAGATCTTCGACCCACATCTGCTGCAGTGGTGACCTGATTTCTCCAAGACCACGTCAAACGGCACAGAGAGGAAACAATGCAATGCACATCTGGCTTGGCGGCAACCGTTTGATGCACCATGTAAAGCGCCAGAGCGCCGAGGGCCGTCCCCGAATGCCGAATGGATCATTGACTGACGCCACATATCATCTAGATGCAACACGACGGTGATTGTGGTGCTGGATGTTCTGCTTCTCCCACGAGCTATCAGGCTAGACTTGGAGGACCGAATCAGAGGCGTCTGCTCGCTGGCATGCGATGTCATGAAGCCACATCCTCGAATGTCTGGAGCATTCCGACATCCCGAATCTCCTTCTTAAACTGTAGTTTCCTGATCTCCCGAGCTATCCATTCAAGAACGTCGTGGTATGCTGACTGCTTCCGCGCCACGGCCTTCCTGACCGCATGAAGTGCTAGCCACGCTACCTGGTGCTTGCTCAACTCACACCTGTAGTCTGGAAATCTCGCTCGGCGAGTCTTGCTTGTCAGAAGCACCCACGCAACATCAATCACTTTCGAGATTGTGCCTAAACATTGTTAGTGGCCACGCCATTTTGTGGTCTGACAAGGGCGGCTTACGGATGACCATCCGAGGCGCGGGGCGTTGATTCGGCCCAAGGCATTTGGCGTACGCCAGCATCTTCGTCGCAGTCTCGGTAAAGGACTCAAAAAGGTTGGAATAGACGGTCCGAGGGGAGTTATGCACCGTGTCGTAAAACATGATGTGGGATTGGATTTTGAAAGCATCTGTGGTGATCAGTAGCTGGAACCTGACATCATAGAACCAACCCCCTGTACTTACTCAGTGTCTTCCTCATGAAGTTGTGCCCAGATTGATATCCAAACTCGACCGTTAGGCCGTTGGAGGTCACTGCTCCTGTCAGCGTCACCATGCAACCAAAAAGTAGCAAATGAACACACCTGTATCCTTGATATGGCCACGGTCCTTCCCAATGGCTAGCGTCTTACAGTCAATAAGTGTACCGCAGTATGGGAACTTTTCCCCATCTGGTAATCTCGCCACGGAGCCGCCGTCAATCTCCATCTCAAAGTTCACCAGCGTCTTGGCTGGGCTGATAGAAACCCCGTAATCAGGAAAGCCCTTGTGCATCACCTTGACGAACCTTCGCGCCTTGCGCACATCAGTGGTAATGAGAAGGAAATCGTCAATCAGCCTGGACAGCATACAGTCTTGACCGCTCAGGAACGACAAGTGTTGTAGCTCAAGATCGGCGTAAAAGTAGTTACAGAGCGTAGAGGAAGTACCGAGCCTTGAGGTATGCCGTTCTTTGGTCGG